TGGTCATCGTGCCCACTTCGCTACGCGTGCGTGATCCACCTTTTTTCGACGGTACCGATGAGCAAGACGTAGAAGATTGGCTGTCGACATTTGAAAAGGTAGGCGCAAGCAACAAGTGGGACGACCCTTCGAAGCTTCAATATGTACCCTTCTACCTGAAAGAGGTGGCGAGTCTCTGGTTTAACAACCACCACTCGGAATTCGCCACTTGGGGTGCCTTTAAGCTACGCATTACCGATGTGTTCGGTCGCCCCGAGGTACGCAAGCTCCGTGCCGAACAGCACCTACGGGGACGCGCACAGCTTCAGGGGGAAGGCTTCACAAGCTACATCGAGGATGTGCTCGACTTGTGCAAGCGCCTTGACCCTTCAATGATCGAGGCAGACAAGATCAAACACATCTTGAAGGGGATAGACGACGACGCCTTCCAGATGCTGCTGGCCAAGGGCCCCCGTACCGTGTCTGAACTCGCCACTCTTTGCCAGAGCTTCGAGGAATTGCGCAAGCAACGGGTCATGACACGGCGGCCAGCGACTACCGACGAAACTCTCGCGGCATTGACCCTAGGTGGAGACAACAACACAATCATGTCGGAATCAAACGATATGTGCGCGAAGAGGTGGCCCGACAATTTTCGTGTCTGTCGTATCAACCGGCAACGGAACCCTCTTCTGAGCGTCTCGCGCCCGCCATCAGACAGGTAATACAGGCGCAGGTCTCTGAGGCACTGCCGCCCGTCTCTCAGACAACACCTGTCACCGCGCCATTGACTTACGCTGCTGTTGCTGCTACTCCACCACGACCTCCACTTCGGCCGAACTCCCCAGCCTGCTACGAGTACCAACGACGCCATTTCCAGCAACACAACAGCGCTATCACGGAAACCCTTGGCGCACAGTTGACAATCGTCCAATCTGTTATGCATGCGGATATCCAGGTCACGTGGCGCGCTTCTGTCGCCGGCGCTTCGCAACGGGCCCGGCTGCAGCTCCGAGGTACTCTGACAACTCTTTCCCGGCCCCGTACAACGCGCAACGAGAAATGCCCCGTCAATACGACCGACAACCAGTGCAACGCGATCCGTCCCCATCTGAAATAGACCACCACCCTGCTGCTGACTACCGACCATTCGGTCCCCGTCGCTCATCCTCACCACGCCGCTACCGTTCTCCGTCCCCGCTGCGTCGCCGACCGAACCCCGCAGAGACGGAAAACTGACTGCCGCAGCTCCGGAGGCACGAGCTGCGAAATCGTCGCATTGTAGAAGTCCTCGCCCGTCCCCCACAAACGTTCTGGAACTGTTTGTTGAAGGTCTACGAACTATTGCGCTTGTTGACACGGGTGCCACCGTATCTGTGATGAGTCAAAAACTCTGCCGTTCGATACGAAAAGTAACGACGCCGCCTTCCGACGTATTGCTGAATACCGCGAGCACGCAACCTATTCGACCAGTCGGAGCATGTAGAGCGAGAGTAATCATTCAGGACGTCCTGTACCACATCGAGTTTCTCGTGTTGACCACTTGTGCCCACGACGTGATACTAGGATGGGATTTTTTGTCACGGCACCACGCCGTAATTGACTGCGCTCGCGCGCAGGTCGAATTATCTGTGTTTTCAGATGCGCCATCTACCGACCATGAGCGCACTCACCTGGGCAAGCTTCTTGTTGCTTCCGACGTTGATGTTCCTCCTCTTAGTGCCATCGTTGTCCCCACAATCGCACTGACGTGTCCGGCTCTACCGTTGTGTTCTCCCCATCTGACGTTTTCAGTCGCCGCCACGGTACGTCTCTGCTATACGCCGTTCTGCCACCTCACCAAGATACTTCCGGAATTGTCGTTTGCAATCCTAGCTCATGCCCTCTCACCTTAAGAGCTCACGAAACACTGGGCTATGTTCATCCTGTTGATGACAACGTTATTGTGCCTATTGAGTCCCACGACCCTGGCCAGCAACTTCAACTGAACACCGTTACTCCTCTTTTTACGCGGGATGACTAGTCCTCGGATATCTTCATTCGTTCCATTGACAGCAAGCTTCCTTCGGATCAACGGGACCAGCTAATAGCCCTTCTGCATGAATTCCGAGATTCATTTGACCTTCCTCAAAAGGCACTGAGTCAAACTAACACCGTCGCTCACACAATCTACACCGGAACGCACCCTCCTTTGCGGCAACGCATATACCGCGTATCACCCAAGGAACGAAGTGTAATTGCAGGGCAGGTGGATGATATGCTTCAGCGCGGTGTCATCAAACCATCTTCTAGCTCCTGGTCTTCACCTGTTGTGCTAGTGAAGAAAAAAGACGGTTCGATTAGATTTTGTGTCGACTACTGGCGACTGAACAAAATTACACGGAAAGATGTATACCCTCTTCCCCGCATCGACGACGCTATCGATTGCCTACAAGGGGCCGAATTCTTTTCTTCGCTGGACTTACGTTCAGGTTACTGGCAGGTTCCGATGCAGAGTGAGACCGTCCCAAAACAGCGTTCATTACGCCGGATGGCCTATACGAATTTATGGTTATGCCATTCGGTCTGTGCAATGCACCTGCAACGTTTGAGCGAATGATGGACAGCATTTTACGCGGCCTTAAATGGCAGATATGCTTATGTTACCTCGATGATGTTATCGTATTTTCGCCTGATTTCCCTACCCACGTCGACCGTCTGCGCACGATTCTTCAGTGTTTTACCAAGGCAAACCTCCAGCTTAACCTAAAGAAGTGCCGCTTTGGGGCTCGCCAACTTACTATATTTGGTCACGTTGTGTCAAAGGATGGAATTTGCCCCGACCTAGACAAATTTAGAGCCGTTGCCGACTTTCCGAAGCCGACTTCAATCAAAGAACTTAAGAGCTTCATCGGCTTGTGCTCGTATTTTCGTCGTTTCGTCCACAACTTTGCAACAATAATAGCCCCACTTACACAACTACTGAACGGTCCAGCTAATCTTTCTAACTGGACCCCGGCTTGCGACGAAGCTTTCCTTACACTGCGCCGCCTACTTACGTCCCCACCGATTCTACGCCATTACGACCCAAGTGCCCCCACTGAAGTGCACACAGATGCCAGTGGCGTTGGTCTGGGAGCAGTACTCGCGCAACGAAAGCCCGGTATTCCAGAGTACGTCGTCGCATACGCAAGCCGCGCACTCACAAAAGCGGAGATGAACTACTACGTAACTGAAAAAGAATGCCTCGCAATCGTTTGGGCGTTAAGCAAGTTTCGTCCTTACTTGTACGGACAGAGTTTCGACGTTGTGACCGATCACCACGCACTTTGTTGGTTGGCGTCGCTAAAAGATCCTTCAGGTCGCCTTGGACGTTGGGCTCTTCGCCTACAAGAATTCGACATTCGTGTCGTCTACCACTCAGGACGAAAAAACTCTGATGCGGACGCCCTGAGTGAGATCCACCGCAGACGTGCATTCGGACACCAACTTCTCCATCGCTCCCATTTCCGTCACAAGCATGTCGCCTGAACAGCGGAAAGACCCATGGATAACATCTTTCCTTAACATTCTTTCCGACTCTTCAACGTCTGCATACCCACGCACTCTTCGCCGCCAAGCCACACATTTCGCGATACGGGACGCGCAACTATACCGCAGAAACTACCACGCGGATGGTCGTAAATGGCTCTTGGTTATACCACACCACATGCGATCTGATGTCTGCGCGTATTTCCATGCCGACCCACAACATGCTCACACTGGTGTGTTAAAAACATATCAGCGGATCCGCCAGCGTTACTACTGGCGTGGTATGTACACTTTTGTACGAAAATACATTCGGTCTTGTTCATTATGCCAACGACGAAAGACAGCGGCCCATTCACCCGGATTATTACAGCCTATACCGTGTCCGGCGCGCCCTTTCGACCGCATTGGTATCGATCTATATGGTCCCCTTCCTTACACTGCCACTGGAAATCGATAGATCATTGTCGCTGTCGACCATCTGGCGAGGTATGCTGAAACAGCTCCACTACCTACGGCAGGTGCACGTGACGTAGCCAATTTTGTTTTGCGACGCTTCGTACTGCGTCACGGGGCACCACGCAAACTACTAAGTGATCGAGGGCGTGTATTTTTATCCGAAGTTGTACAACAACTCCTTCAGGCATGCCGCACGGTGCACCGCACCTCTACAGCCTACCAACCGCAGACCAACGGTCTAACTGAGCGCTTCAGCCGAACGCTAGGAGACATGCCCGCCATGTATGTCAATTCCGACCAATCAAACTGGGATGTCATTCTCCCATTTGTGACCTATGCGTACAACACCGCGACGCAGTCAACCACAGGTTTCTCGCCTTTCTTTCTTCTATATGGGCGTGAGCCATGCTCCACCCTTGACACCATTTTGCCGTATCGTCCTGACGTCTCAGAGTTCAGCCCTCTTTCTGAAATTTTGCACCGCGCTGAAGAGTGTCGTCAGTTGGCCGGATCATTCACTTCGGACAAGCAATCATTCAAAAAAGACCGCCACGACCGCGACCAGCAAGTCGAAACTTTTGCCGTGGGCTCGCTTGTCTGGCTCCGACTGCCCTTCTACTCCCCAGGTCTGTCCGATAAGCTTGCCCCCAAGTTTCACGGTCCTTATCGCGTCGTCGAACGTCGATCTCCTGTCACATACGTGATCGAGCCGATCACGCCATCTAAAGACAGGCGATGCCTTGGTCGTGAGACTGTCCACATGAGTCGTCTCAAGCCATATCATGACCCACTCCTAATCTCGTCACCTTGACTTGCCGAATGGCTCGTCTTCGTCGCCGGGGTATTGTAGAGAGGAAGAAGAATATGTGCCGCAGTGGGTCACGCCTTTAGCAAGAGGAGCCAAGCGCGAGCGTTTGCCCCGATTGCTGTGATTCCTGAGTCCGTTGCTGCCGCCCGCTTTCCGCATCAATAGACCTACTGTGCAAGTGCTACTTGTGCCAATAAACCCCGTTTCACCGGCAACTAGGTCTCCGCTGCTTCCATCCTGATGCTCGATGCCCACGCTACGGTGAGAGCCCCCGCGAAATCGAAGCCTATCTCACGGGCCAGCGAACACTTTCGACTGTTCAGCACCACCAGTCGAGATCACCGTCGCCTCGCCGGTCTACGTCACCCAGTTTGCCCTCATCGTCTTCCGCTCCTTTCAGGAGCCGGTCACCAAGTCCGCGTAGGGGAAACTAAGAACGGCGACTTTTAGGGGTGAGGTCGCGGCCCGGCGAACTGTAAAAGACCCTCACTCGACGCAACGACCAGACGAGGACCATTCCGGTTTTGCAGTGTTCTCTGACAGCAGAAAGATCGTTTCTGCCGAAATCGCCGTCTTCGTCGACAATCATGCTGTCAATGCTCTCGTCGACACCGGTGCCGACTATTCCGTAATGAGCGCTGCACTGGCATCTAAACTGAGGAAAAGCTACCACATCATGGCAAGGACCCCAGTTGCACACTGCAGGGGGCCATCTGGTGATGCCTACCGGTATGTGCACGGCACGCATTCGTATACGTACGTCGACATTTGCGGGCTCTTTCCTCGTAATGCGCGTGTGCTCTCGGCCAGTCATTCTAGGAATGGACTTCCTTCGTGAATACGGTGCCGTCATCGACCTCCGTGAATTACTTGTGTCGTTCGAGGATCCTTTTTGCGCTGCAACTGACAGTACACAATTCCAGAAAAGAGCGCTCCGTGTTATCGACGATTCTCTGACTCTCCCACCTCGAAGCAGCCTCTTTGTCGAAGTAGAATTGGAGACAGGACGTGTCTGACGCGGTAATTGCAGAGGCCGATTTGTCTCTCCCTATTTCACGACAAATCTGTGTTCCCCGAGGAATTATTCAGCCTAGCAATAGGCATGTTCACCTGCTGGTCACGAACTTCAGCGACGAATATCGCCACCTAACGAGATACACTGCCATTTCATATTGTGAAGAACTTGCCCATGCCGATGGTTCGCCCACGTTAGCTTTATTTTCATCGAATGGCCACGCTGACGAGGCCTTCGCGAGCACTCTCGACGTAAACGAGAGACTACCTTCGGCTCAACGAGAAAGCCTTTTGCGTTTACTCGGCTCATTTCAAGACTGCTTTGCCACTACGTCAAAGGTTAAACAGACACCACTTGCTCAGCACCGTATCATCACGGAACCCAGCGAGAGACCCATCTGACAACACGCCTATAGGGTGTCGCAAAAAGAGCAAGACGCTATACGTGACCAAGTCCAGCAGATGCTTCAAGACGACGTCATCCAGCCATCAACCAGTCCTTGGGCTTTACTAGTTGTGCTAGTAAAGAAGGACGGTACGTTGCGTTTTTGCGTTGATTACCGTAAACTGAACAAGGTCACCAAAAAGAACGTTTATCCTCTACCCCGGATAGATGACTTGTTGGACCGTATACGCAACGCTAAATATTTTTCTTTTATGGATTTACGTAGCGGCTACTGGCAAATCGCTGTGGATGAGCGCGACCGCGAAAAGACGGCGTTTATTACTCCCGACGGCCTGTACGAGTTTAAAGTGTTGCCTTTCGGTCTATGCTCAGCGACAGCTACTTTCCAAAGAATGATGGATACGGTTCTCACAGGGCTGAAATGGCAATCATGTCTTGTTTACCTTGATGACGTCGTGGTCTTTGCAGACACGTTCGAACAACACGTCCAACGCCTTCATGCAGTACTTCAGCAATCAGAACCGCGGGGCTTTCTCTCAAACCCGAGAAATGTCATTTTGGATATGAAGAACTGAAGTTCCTTGATCACGTTGTGAGCCATGCCGGCATCCGCCCAGATCCGGAGAAAACTCATGCTGTTGCCGCCTTTCCCGTGCCCACAAATAAGCGCGACCTACGCCGATTTTTGGGGCTCTGTGCGTATTACAGGTGCTTTGTCAAAAACTTTTCGAAGATTGCTGAACCCCTAACAAGCTTACAAAAGACGGTGTCTCGTTTGTTTGGGGTCCCGATCAGTGTCATGCGTTCGACACCCTCCGCAACCTCCTCCAGGCTCCGCCTGTACTGGGTCATTTTGACGAAAGCGCTGACACGGAATTACACACTGACGCCAGCAACGTTAAACTAGCAGCGGTAATAGTTCAGTGGCATAATGGCGTAGAGCGCGTAATTGCTTATGCGACCACGACTCTGCTGCGCACGTCCGCTTTGCAGAGGCTGCGTGCCCTGTCCCTGCCGCCCTGCGGTCTGCGTCAAGTCGGCGCGGTGCACCGACTGGCCATCCGCCTTGGGAACATCGAGGACCTGGACATTCGGCTCAAGTTCGAGGGGCGCCACAACAGCTGTCACCACTGCGACGGCGAATTGTTGGTGGCACCTGCTGACGCGGGCCTGTTCTGCGGCAGCTCGAGCCGCCTCACTCTGAGCAACGTGCCGAACCTGGCATCCTTGACTTTCCTCGAGAGGTGCCCGGTGGCCCACCTTCGGTTCATCGACATCTCTGACGAACCTCCTTACGACTTCGGCGCGCTATCGAAGGCCATACGCTACTGTACGAACCTGTGCTCGGTCGTCGTCAAGCTGTCGGCCATCGATTTCGAGAGCGAGTCTTTCCAGGTATTTTTTCTTTTTGTTGGCCTGACGCGCATATTTATATCTATTTCTCGGCACGTGTAGGAAAAAAAAAATAACTTTATTTGGTCATGCGGAACGCGACTGGGTCACGCACCCGGCTCAAGCCCACGTAGGGACCGGCAAGCCGAGCCTGCTGGCAACCTCGCCGGTCCTCTGGTCAACCGTGAGCTTATCAGTGATAGCGGGGCTTCGTAGAAGCATCTCCCTGTCTTCCAGGGTGATGCTTGAGTCCGTCTTGGCAGGTGCTCGCCACGTAGAAAGCATTGCCTGACTTTTGAAAGTGTGGCCTATTTTATCGTCGCTCTGCGTTCGGTGTCTTATGTCAGTATTTGTAGGTTTTGAAGTCGGTATGTAACCCAAAAGAGAAAGATAGAGATTTTATTAGAAGGCAGAGAGGTCGGCCCAAGCTAGTTTGCTCTAGCCTGGTACTCTACACAGGGGATAAGGAAAGAGGGAAGGAAAGAGGGATGAAAGATGATGATGGGGACAAGAGGTCGTGCGTATGTACAGTAGCCACTTAGCATAGTACACTACAGTCTAGTATCTTGTCCAGCGCTTTTGATCCCAAGAAACACCTTCGTAACGCTCTAGCATGTCAAAACAATTTCCCTTTCCTGCAGAATTCCTTGTGCCCTGCGGAGGCCCTCGAACTCCTGTGCATTCTGTCCTACACTGGGCTGCGGTCGTCGAAAGCGCTGCTGATTGTCCAAGAAATGGCCTATCTTCTCCCATCCATCTACTACTTGCACATTCACTTCGTAGATGTTGAAACGGACGAGGAGACCAGCGCTACGTGGATTCGCTTGCCGGGAGGCGATACAGAGGGTCGGTCTTTCATAGGCAAGCCCTGCATCATGTGCTCCACGGAGACGTTCATCGCGCTCGTAAAGCCATGTCGCCGGGAACTCTAGACCCAGCTGGCGGCAAGAAGTCACCGCATTTGGCCAAATCGAGGACGCTCATTTGTTCCGTCATGGTTCACCATTTCCCAAGTGTAACCGCCGTCGAACTAAAGCCGACTCTGCGGCGAAACATTTCATGTATATACTTCATTCACTTTCGTTTGACATGTACCAGATGGATCAGTTTTAACTGTTTAACAGCTGGGTTTTTAAGGCTAGCCTACGTTGTTTTATTAATGCTTTTACCGAGGACACGTGCCGTATAGCCCTGGCTTCATTTGGAGGGTGCACGTTAAAGAACCCCGGTTGGTCAAAATTTCCGGAGCCCTCCACTACGGCGTCTCTCATAATCATATGGTGGTTTTGGGACGTTAAACGCCACATATCAATCAATGGCTTCATTTCGACACGCATTTGGGTCTGTATCTTTTCTCATGTGCAACTTGTGACGTGGTAATATGTAGCATCATTGCAATAAAACACGAGTGTGCAACACTCGCACTGCCGTTTGGGCTGCAACATTCCTATCAAGTTTTATACTCTTTTGGAGCTCACCAGTCCTGACATGGCGATTAAAGCTGATTGACGTTCCAAAACATGACGTATGCCGTGTATTCTGCAGGGGTAGATGGCGGTCCGAGAACGGGGTGTTCTTCAACTTGCGCCCGAATCTAAGCAGACTCGTGTTTTCGCATTTTCTATATCGCTTCAATATGGGGTCATTGTAGCTGGGACTCAAGCTCATGTCCTGAAGCTTAGCAAAGTAACGTTGTGGCCTGTTTAGCCTTATCTGTAGCATCACAACATCTCTGGTTTCTTTCAATTGTACATCGTTGAAACTTGCTTATGTAAAAAACCGACAATTTCGTGACCCATAACGGGCGTTGCCAACGTTTGTGTCCTTAGTGGTCTAAGTGCGCGTTCTTTGTAATTATACTTGATAAAAATAATTTTTATTTTATTTACATTTAACATTCCCGTGATGTTTTCGTCTGCCAAGCCATTCCAACTCAACCGCGCATGCGTTTTGTACCGTTTTTGGCTTGCAGTGGCAAATATAATTTTTTCCCTTTAAAAAAAGGCCGTGTGAACCTCAAGGACGCGACAAAATGCTGATACGCACGCAGTATAATCAACGGGTGCTTATTATGTTCGATCCGTCCACACAAAAAAAATATCGATGACGATGTTTGAAAGAAAACGCAGTGGCGCTCTGTTCCTGAAATATCTATAGTAAAGGTCCCTAGATAAACTTGTTTCATCCAGGGACCTTAAAGGGGTGGTGCCGCCAAATTTGTGGCATGCGTTTTCTCTGCTGTAATCGTTTCCTTCCGCTCCAGGAAGCATGATACACGCACCAAGATTCATGTATTTTTGCCCAATAATTTATATTGCTCTACTATACATATGTGGACCATTTTCGGTTTCGCGGCATCGAGTTCAGCAGTGACGTCGATGTTAAGTGGTTTGGTCACGTGATCACTCAAGGCTGTGACGCACATCGTGCTGAATTTCGTCTGCTCCCCCACACACGTGCCACACAAGCGCCAGCAAAACAAACGCGCTCACGGTCGCCATGGCCAGCTGCAGTATACAGTATCCAGGCAGTGGTGAGGCAAGAGGCAGCCAGAAGGAAACAAATCGCTTATATTGACAATACTTACATATATTGACAATATTGGCAATCGCTTTGTGACACTATTTACAACGTACTTACCGAACGTGGACGAGGAAGCAGCCCGGTGATAGACGCACCGGCCTGCTATAGGCGCCGAGACGCTGAAGAAGGAGGGGGCATGCAGCTTCCTCGCGCAGCGTTTTTGACCGACGCGCGCAGCGTTTCTGACGGACGCCTCCGTTGTCCGTGAAGGACGCATCGAGTGTCTCTTCGAAAGCACCCAGTGTCCTTGACGGACGCACACAGTGTATCTGCAATTTACGCCAGCACATTCAAATATGACAAGATAAACATCGATGGCACCCTGTTTCTGTGGGATAGTAGCACTAATAAGATGGTTCCTATCCTTACCGATAAGAAGTCTTGCTCAGCTTCTGACGTTCAATGCACGAGTAAGCTCATGCGCAATCGTTTAACCGGGGGGGGGGGGGGTTGCAAAAAAAGCACCCTCTGCCTAAATATAAATGCTTGTAGCATTCTCAAGAAATTAGCTAACTGAAAAAGAAACAGCAGGCATACGCGAGTTCTCTCCTTATTTACAACATGCGTTTCGGAGATCACGCATGTCACTCACGTCACGAAACCCAAGGTCCACCTTCGTTCTAACAGATTCAAAAGCAGCCTACCAGATTTTTTGTAAAGGCTACATTGGCCCCATTGCGCATCGACTTCTTACACAACCCCCGTCCTCACGCTCAGAGGGCGAATGGAAACAGCTTATATGGATACCCGGCCACTGCGCAGTTAGAGGCAACGAGCTCGCCCATGCCTCGGCCAGAGAATTACTTTTTCGGACCTCGGACCCCGGCATAACGCATCCACCCTCGGCTATGCGTAGGGACCCGTTCCTAACATGGACAGATATTCTAAACCATCAAAGACTCGAAAGACGGAAACTTCCACCGCCGGGGCCAAAGCTCAGTAAAAAATCTCAGATAGCGTGGCTTCGCCTGCAGACCTAGTCTTGCCCCAATCCATACATACTGTCCCAGATAGATCCCGACACATACGCACCACAAAGCAGGTTCTACGTCACTAAAACAGCCACCCTGTACCACATGGTATGGGAATGCCCACACAATCCACCTCTACAAGCCAGAGCACAGCACAACACTGTAGGGTGGTCCGAGCTCTGTCCAGCTCGGACCGAAGACACAAGAGGCCCTCGTGAGACAAGCGAGGACAGCGGCTCGTGCCAACGGGATCCCGGACTAAGGATCACACTCACCGACATTCATTCCTCGGTCGCAAATAAATGTTTTATTCTCTCTCTGTCCCCAACTTCCTGAGAATGCCAGTGCCATGTTTCATGACCACACATGATTCTCTCCGACACATCGTAATGGATAAGAGCCATACCTTGGTGGGACGAGGGGAAAACGACGAAAAAGAAAGCCCTTGGAACTCTAAAATGTGGCAGTAATTTTATCGTTTGGCTGCATTAAATTAAGGTATAGCCACAGGGACGTCTGCTCTGCGGTATCTGACTACATATTTGAAACAAAGCGATTGCCCTGTTAGTGTGCTTTTTATATCATTCCTTTTGGACCCATCACTACCTCTGTCTGTTGGCTTCTCTCATATATATATATATATATATATATATATATATATATATATATATATATATATATATATATATATATATGAGAGAAGCCAACAGACAGAGGTAGTGATGGGTCCAAAACGAATGATGTAAAAAGCACACACACACACACACACACACACACACACACACACACACACACACACACATATATATATATATATATATATATATATATATATATATATATATATATATATATTTATATTGTACCGAAGCATAGTGGCGCCAGCTCTGTGCCAGCGTGAAAGAAGACGTTGACGTCCGTGTGTGGCTCGTGCTTGCCGGGTTCCTGCCTGTACCAGCTTGTTGCGGCTAACGTTTCTGAAATAATAACCTGTGTTTTTACGCAACCTTGCTCGTTGCATTTGGTGGAGGTGCTGGGTAACGTCCTGGAGCTCCGCAGCCGTAAGCTACCATCTCAGTCCGCGATGACCGAGCGCGTCGATCCCCCACAAGGTTCTTCCACGCTGCCACCTGTCATGTGTTCTGGTGTACTTCGTCTGCGTGACCCACCAGTATACAACGGCACTGAAGATCAAGATGTCGAGGACTGGCTGGCAGAGTACGAGCATGCCAGCGCGATTAACAAGTGGGATGACCCTGCGAAGCTGATTCACGTCATCTTCTACTTGACGGATTTGGCCAACCTATGGTTCACCAACCACCAAGCCGACATCCCCACCTGGTCGGTTTTCAAAGAGGCCGTCACCTCGTTTTTCGGTCGTCCAGCCATGCGTAAGCTTCGCGCTGAACTGGGACTGCGGGGACGATTTCAGCGAAATGGTGAGAGCTTCACGAGCTACATTGAGGATGTGATCAGCCTCTGTAGGCGAGTTGATGCCAGGATGACGGAGGCTGACAGAATAAAGAACATAATGAAAGGTATTGATGACGACGCTTTTCATATGCTTGTGGCCAAAGACCCACAGACCGTCACGGCCGTGATCCAGTTATGTCAAAGTTTCGATGAGCTGCGCAAGCAACGAGTTTCTACACGTCGCGCTAATACGCAGACAGCTGATATTTCGGCCTTGGAGTGCAAAAGCAGTGGCTCCGACTACAGCGTGTTAATGCTCAAATTCAACAGTACATCCGGGAGGAAGTTGCTCGACAGCTCTCTCTTGTCGCCACCATCAACGAGACCCCCACAACACTGGACCACTCACTTCGCCGTGCTACTCAGACGCAAGTTGCCGAGGCTCTCCCTTCGCCCACATCCCCAATATCAGTGGCTGCACCGCTGACTTATGCAGAAGCCGTACGCCGACCTCCGGCCCAACCGCCGCTCCCTTCATACAGTCCTGCCACCAACTACTACAGGTCACCAGTTTCAGTTTATCCGGTAAATCGGCCCATTCCACCACCTCGAGCACCTGTAAACTCTTGGCGTACTCCGGATAACCGGCCCGTCTGCTACAACTGTGGTATTCCAGGACATATCGCGCGCTACTGTCGTCGCCGTGGATTCTATTTTAATGATGTGCAGCATTCCGGCAACATACCACGGCCATCAGAATCGCATGTGACACCTGATTCACATGACCCCCGCCCACGTCGACCAGACTTCAGCCGACGTCGATCTCCTTCACCCCGTCTTCGGTCTCCTTCCCCCATGCTTCGCCGTTCCAACCACGCCCAGGAGGAAAACTAACAGTCGCAGTTCCTGAGGCAAGAGCTGCGCCGCCGACGAAATTTCCAAGGCCTCATCTATCGCCCCCTAACGAGATTGCCGTGTTTGTGGACGGTTTCGCCACAACTGCTCTTGTCGACACAGGTGCCGCTATTTGTATAATCAGTGAAGTGTTATGCCGCAAACTGAAC